CCCCCCGGCCGCCGCCCGTCGTCCCCTCCCGGGGCTTCGTGCCTGGGCCGCCGCCTGCCTGGCGGGCCGGCGGCAGGGCTGTGCCTGGGCCTCGGGAGCGTGAGGAAAAGCCGCCGCGGGTCCCTTCCCCTGCAGCAGCACCTGTTGCCCACCTTTTCTCGGGGAGGGTGATCCACCCGGGAGAACTGAGCTCCCCGTCTTTCATTTGCCCCCGTGGTGTGTCCGGCGCGGCACATCGAGGGGCAGAAATTAAGCACCCCGAGCAGAGAGTTGGACCCACAAGTGCCTGACCCAGTGGCGCCCAGGCTGCGAGGCAGGCCGTGTCCTCAGCAGGACTCCCAAAGCGCCTCGGCCCTGTGCAGGTGCAGCCGTGCGAGTCCCGCTCGGCCCCCTGGGCCGGCAGCTGCCCCGCCACACGGGCCGTGGGGCAGCTCGGAGCGCGCCGAGGGGCTTTGCCTGCTCCCGGCGGGGTTCGCGCCAGTCTGCGGAGTGGAGGGAAGATAGGGCTGCTCCTCCGAAATCCACCGTGACAGTTGGTCTGCAGGCACTCGCTCCTCGGGATGGGTAAGAGATGAGTGCAGGTCAGGATTAACGATTTTATTTTTCAGTTAGGTGTAAATCAGGGGATTCAGAGCTGGTAATTTTCCAAGGGAAGAGTTAAGTTCTAGTGGTGTCGGGCAAAAATAATGACTTTTACTTGTGCTTCCTTCCTCCCCCAGCCCTGCAGAGCTGTACTCCCGTCGGGTATGATGTGCCTTACTGAGTAATGCCGTCCAACGTGTAAAGTGGGGAAACGCTGTTATCATTTGAGCAAAGATTATTGCAGGGTATATGTGGGAGGGACTGTAATGTAGTGGTTAAAGCCTGGGAATACAGTCCTGGTCGTTTGAGTTATGTTCTGAACTGTGACTCACTCTGTGTGTGTGTGGTTTCAGCAAATCATTTATGGCCTCAGACAAAGCAGATTTTTCCATTAATTTAAATGAACTGTAGATTAAACAGGTCTTCAGTGGCAGAAGAATCAACCGTTCTATGATTCAAAATTAAGATCACCTATCTACCACATAGGTGTTTCAATAGTTATATAAACACAGCATGCCCTGGAATATTACGAAGGGTAAATTATTGATAGCAGAAAAGTGTTTAGAGACACTTGCCTTAAACACAGTGCCAAAGCGAGCAGCGTTCCCTAATCCTAACCCTAACTGTAGGCTGAGCCTTCGACAAGGCCCCCAGCCATGGCCTAGACAAAAAAGTTCTCGCAGCACAGCACTCTTTGCAGCCTCTTTGTGCTCTTTGCAGCCTGCGTTTTGCTTCAGCAGCCCCCTCCCAGCCCTCCCCAGCTGCAGCTCTGCATTTTCTCTTCCTCTGAACCTGAACCCTTACGCCAGCACACATCTGAGCCTTCAACAAGTCCCCGAGTCGTTGCCCAGATTAAAAAGTTCTCACAGCAGCATGTTCAGGGATGTTTGCCTTAACACCAGAGTCAAAGCGAGCAGTACTGCAATGCTCCGGTCTCAAGTGTGACACCATGCCTTGCCTGTTTCAGCAGTATTTAGGCACGCATTATAAACGCTGGGTGGTGGAAAGGATTTTTATGCACTGTCTACTCCAAATATCACAGGACAGTTGGAGCTGGAAGGGACCTCTGGGGATCGTCTAGTCCAGCAGGCTCATGTGAAAACAGCTGCCAGTCCACGCTTCTGCAGAAAAGGATGGCAGGCAGAGGCTGCACTGTTGCAGCGTGCCGTGGATGCAGCAGGTAAGTGTGGCAGGACTTGTGGGCAGGGGCTGGCCTTGCATGTGGCATTCCCACTCATCTCCCCACACACACGCACCCCACACCAAGACTAGCCTGGCTTGAGCAGCTCCAGTGCTGGGCGGGGTGCTGTGGGTGTGTATATACTCAGCGGCATTTGTCTTCACGACCGCGGGGTGGCTTTTTGAAAGTTTCCCACCGAGCCTGTTCCTTTTATACGCAGCAGTGCGATGCTGCCAGCCTCTGCCCGTCCTGCCACACAAGTGTGGCAGGGCAGTCCTTCCTTCTCCACCCCTCGCCAGTCCCAGACATGGGGTTGGGGACATGGAGGGGGTGAGACGTGGGGGTGGGCAGTGACTGAGAGGCCAAGCGAGTAATCACATGTTGGGGAGGAAGGGAGTAGTTGTCTGCTAGCACTGTGTACAGAGTTGAGAGATTGCTCACGACCATAGCAATGTCCTGCAGCAGGTTGGGGGTGGCAGAGGAATGTCGAGGTTTTTTGGTGGTTTGGTTTTTTTTTCCGCTGCGATGGATGAATTGCCCCTGAGGAGCTTGCCTCATCCACCTGCTTCAGGGGGTTGGAGGATAGGAACAGGTTTTGGAGTACTCCACACAAATTTCCATGCTGCGGGGCGGGGGGGGCGGGCAGTGGAAGATGCTTTGCTGTTAGGAGAAAGCAGGTCCTTCTCAGTGCTTTGTGCTTACTGGTTTGAATTTACTGGCTGAATTGGGTTTGATCTAAGTCAGTGTTGAAAAGAATGGCAAATGTCTAGCTGAGTAAAAGGGTGGAGGAATAGGCCCACTGCCCTCTCTTGGTACAATAGATTATGTAAAAAATAGCGTTTTATACATTGACATCTCTGGTTCTGGGCATCACTTTCTTCCCCTGTAATGAAATCCATGTTTATACAAGTGAAATCACATACAAACACACACCTTGCATGGAAATATCTGTGTTTCAGTGTGGTTTGCTGTATCATATCTGAGGTAACTGCGTTTTAAAGCCAAGACAACACTTAGTAGTAATAAGCATATCACAAGAAACTTCAGAGGAATCAGAAAGTCTGTTCAGATAATTCCTTCCAGTCCACAGTATATTACTAATATTTTTTTTTTTTTATGGTACTACTTAGTATCTCAAACTTAGGCTATGGACCCAAACAGAGAAAGTCAGCCCTTATCCCAAAGCGTTTACAGCTTCAGTGGAAAATCAGCATATACTCATAGTTTATCAAGCCCCTGTATATCCAGAGTAACCCAGTTCTGTGTAGGTAGCCTGAAACAAAAATCAGCTCTTTGGAATAAAGATTTTTTTATGTCATTTCCATTATCAGGTTGCTCCTCAAGCCGTCCTGCTGGGGTAAAGGCAGTGTGTTTACATTAATTTGCGTGCCAAGAACTTTGCTAGAGACTTCCACAAACTTCCTCTCTTTGCAGGAGCAATGGGCTGATGTCTTAAGGACTATGTGGGTATGCCTCTTTAATTGGAAGGGAATCCTCCCAAAAGGGAATCTGATTGATTTACTCTAAATATTTAAGTGCAATTTTCTTAGTTTAACACCATCCTATTTTACTGCAGTATTGCATCTTGCCTCTGAAATTAATAGTTAACCACGGAGAAAGACAGGTCTGACAGAATGGAAATCAGGCATTATATTATCCCATGAGTCACATACATGAAGAGAACCAAACAAGTGTCAGCCAATGGCTTTGAGCCCAAAATATGTCAAAGAGGAGATGTGTATCTTCATTTATATTAAGTAGATAGAAAGCTGGTTGCCATTCCCATTAAACAGGTTGGAGTTCTGCCACTGACTTCAGTGGGAACAGGATTGGGCCCATGTGCTGGAAGCTGGCTCTGGTTACCTGTGCTGACTGTATTTTCTGTGCAGCAGGGAAACTTATATTTTAACAACAGAGAGATTCAAGACCTCCCCTAGT